TTCATTACTGTTCATCTTGTGTATAAGATTTACAACATAATAGGATTATCTATATTTGTGTGAATGTTTATGAAGCATTCACACTATCGTGATCCATTTTTCTTCGGTACATTTTTCGGTGCGTTTCTAGTCCCGCAGTTTTCAAGCTATTTCAACAAATCAAATATCAAACCCTTCAGCTCGTTCAGGACAATCCTGATAGGACTTTTTCTCATAGAAAATGAATTGAGCTCATTTTACATCCTTCAAATCTTTAGATCTGTTTACAACCTTTTACTGCTTTCACATTTTGTTCTGGTTCAGCTTCTTTCTGCAAATTTAAACTTTTTTCAGCTTTTTTTCCAGCGATTTATTATTTTTTTTGTTCCTTTCAGATTATTTCTGCTAACTACAAACATTTTTGTGCTTCCTCGAACTTCTTTCTACTAATTTCAGCTTGTTATGCTCCTTTTAACTTATTTCTGCAAGTTTAGGCTTAAAATGCAATTTCAGCTACTATTTAGCTGTTTTATGCTAATTTTAGCTTTTTCAGCTAATTCCACGTTTTTTGCACTCAGTTAAGCTTTTTCATTTTAATTCAGCAAAAACGTTCTTTCGACTTCCTTCTGGTAATTTAAGCTTCTTTCTGCCTTTTTAGCTACTTTTCAGCTGTTTTTTTTTTTAAATATTTCTGCCTTTTAAAAATAAGATAATTATCATTTTTTTTGTGCTTATTTCTGCTTCTTTCAGTCTAGTTGAGCAAATGTTCTGATTTATTCTGTTAATTTATGCTACATTTTTAGCATTCTTTAGCTAATTTCAGTAAATTTCAAATAAATTCAAGTTTTTCATGGTAATTTCTGCTACTTTGAGCCTAATTAACTTCTTTCTGCTAATTTCAGCTTGCTATGCTCTTTTTCAGCCTATTTCTGCTAGTTTCAGCATTTTCTACTATGTAACTGTTTTTTATTTATTTAAAGCTTAGCTTTAGCATAGCTTTAGCATAGCTTTTTCAGCCAATTCCACATTTTTAGCTCATTTCAGCTCTATCAATTTTCTTCTGGTAGTTTAGCTTTTTTCTGTCTTTTCAGCTACTTTACAGCTGTGTTTTTGCTAATTTCAGCTTTTTTTTAACTAATTTCGTAATTTGTGTGCTCATTTCTGCTTACTTAAACATAATTCAGCAATTATTTTTGTCTTTCTTGTTTCTTATACTTTTTTAGGCTTGTTCTTCTCTTTCAACTACATTTCAGCATGTTTTTTTTTTTTTTTAGCTAATTTCAGCTGTTTTTCCAGCAAGTTCTTGTGCAATAAGCATTCACACTGAATTTTTCACAGGAAATGCAATTTCTCTAGTTAGGTATTAATATGTCCTCATTTTTATTTTATTCGTTTACTATCCAAACAACCAATTGCGTCTCATTCATCAAAATCAATTTGAATTATATTTATGAGTTATTAGGTGTTTTATTGTGTTGTAACCATAAACTTGTGTTTATGCGTCTCATTTTTCTTTTTCTTTGTGTTCTTTTTATATGTTTTGTTTGGTTTCTTCATCCTGTATGTTTGTTGCTACACGTACTGTATAGGCGGAGACAAATCTATCTGTTGTGAGTGGTGCCCCAACCCTGAAAATTAAACCTGGACAAAGCTGTCTGTACACTTTGGCTGTGACGCCATGGAAACGAGGAAAACAGACAGGTTATTATTTATCTATTTATTTTTAATTTATCTATTTATTTATTCATAAAAAAAAAAATTACTTCGGAGCAGCACATTACCCTTTATTAAATCTTTCGGCCTCTTTAAGTAAAAGCAGCTAGTGGTTAAAACATCTTTAAAGGCATTTTCAAAGATACAGTAAGTCTTTTTTGCACAAATATTATTGCCTGCCCTAAAACCTGTATAAACCATCATCGATCAAACATCAACAGTTAATGTAACAAAACCTTTAGGTGATCTGAAAAATGTTTAGTCTGCCACCAATTTAAGTGATAATGCAATCCCCCTAGAGAACTGAGCTGTGTTGATTTATAAAAATATCTTGTGGACTCCTCAGATGACAGCCTTCAATTTGTCTGGTACTGTATTACACTATTGTCCCTTTAAATTTTGTTTGGGTCATAGCTCATAATAGTAATATTCAGTAAAGTGTTTAGAAAAGAAAGAATGACGTGCTCAAAACAGCTGAACATGAAGCTGAAAGTTGACAAAGGGTGATGAACAACTCCGGCACTGACGTAGAGCTCAAATAAAACAGTGGCCACTTACCATGAAAATAGTGAACAAAGTTGCTTCAATCCCGGACGAGCCCCCAAATTGTTACATTATCCGTTTTGGTCTAGGAGATGAGTGAAAGGTTTAACAATAAATAAAACCCAGAAATGAGGAGATAAAGTGGGTCAGCTTGAAAAATACACTAGTTTTATTGGCATTTTTAGGAAAGCTGAGCTAAAATCTGAAAAACTAAATAATTAGTTTAATCATGAAAATCCAAATTAGAAAAATGCTCATTCTACCCAAAAAGTGAAAGTTAAGACACCCTCCTTTTAAAAGGAAGTATCCACCACAAAATTAACACCTACATAAACAATTTCAATTATACATAGGCCTGTCACGATAAACAATACATCAATTAATTGCATGATAAATGAAAATTATCTACCTCATTTTCATTTATCTGCTTTATCATTTCTTCATGTCTCTCTCTTTCTTCTGGACACTGGATGGCAAAAGGCTCAACTTCGATGCTCTTCACTGACCCCTTCTTTTCTCTTTAAAATCCATTTTAGCCATTTTAACCATTCAAAATCACATTTTTGGATCATTAAAATCAGCTAAGCTAACAGGCCGACCTCGGGGAAAAAAATCTGTCTTGTCGAAGCTCCAAAATTCATAGTTGAAACCCGTGCCTTTGTGTAAAAAGTTTTTCTCTGCAAAAAGAAGCTGAGAACTTGTTTACTGATTTTTTAATTAAAAGCGTTGTGTAAAAAATGCTATTCTAAAGAGCTCAATCCACACCGACTGTCCGCCATTTTGAGAACTGAAGAGAGACAGGCCATGTCACGTCAAGGGGCCTCCCTCCCATTTTTCTTAAAGAGACACCTGCTCCTTACTATCCATCCTTCGGTTCAGTCTTATACTGCCATCCGGTGGTTGAAAAAAGGTACTACATGCAAAACAAATTAAACATTTCTTCTTAAATTTAACAATAATTACTGATTATTGTCAAATTTCAATCAATATTATTGTTTATCGCAATAATTTCTGAGACGGTTAATCTCCCAGCAAAATCTGTTATCATGACAGGCCTAATTACACATCACCGAATTGTATTTACTTGAACAAAAACTGCAGCCACCACAACCCAGTCCAGACAGATTACTGGCCCTGTGAGCTGCTTCTCTCCAGGCTTTTTTCTTTCTTTTTTTTTTTTTGAAACACAGAGAGGAGAGCCTCAGACAAAAGGAAACATGCAATCCAGCTTGTAACAAAGTGTAGTGCATGTTAGTAGTAAATATAAGATAAGATAGTACTATCAAATTATAAATGAACTGTACTTCTATAACACTATCAGGTTTGGAAGGTATTTTTTTGTAATCTTCTTGGAGCTTTGTTCAGTCTCTCCTCAGATTTTTGCATTCAATTAAATGACCAAACTTAAAATATCATCCAAGAACTGGAAACATCTCTCTGAAGTGTGGTATACTTAAATTCTTCTTTGTGGAACACCCATCTCTTTTGGATCGGGTATACAGGTGCTGGCCATAAAATTAGAATATCATGAAAAAGTTTATTTATTTCAGAAATTCTGTTCAAAAAGTGAAACTTGTATATTATATTCATTCATTACACACAGACTGATATATTTCAAATGTTTATTTCTTTTAATGTTGATGATTATAACTGACAACTAATGAAAACCCCAAATTCAGTATCTCAGAAAATTAGAATATTACTTAAGACCAATTTAAAAAAAATTATTTTTAGAAATGTTGACCAAATTTAAAGTATGAACAGGAAAAGTATGAGCATGTACAGCACGCAATACTTAGAGTTGGGGCTCCTTTTGTCTGGATTACTGCATTAATGCGGCGTGGCATGGAGTCGATCAGTCTGTGGCACTGCTCAGATGTTATGAGAGCCCAGGTTGCTCTGATAGTGGTCTTCAGCTCTTCTGAATTGTTGCTTCTGGTGTATCACATCTTCCTCTTCACAATACCCCATAGATTTTCTATGGGGCTAAGGTCAGGCGAGTTTGCTGGCCTATTAAAAACAGGGATACCATGGTCCTTAAGCCAGGTACTGGTAGCTTTGGCACTTTGTTCAGGTGCCAAGTCCTGTTGCAAAATGAAATCTGCATCTCCATAAAGTTGGTCAGCAGCAGGAAGCATGAAGTTTTCTAAAACTTTCTGGCAGACAGCTGCGTTGACCTTGGACTTCAGAAACCACAGTGGAACAACACCGGCAGATGATATGGCACCCCGAGCCATCACTGACTGTGTAAACTTGACACTGGACCTCAAGCAACATGGATTCTGTGCCTCTCATCTCTTCCTCCAGACTCTGGGACCTTGATTTCCAAAGGGAATGCAAAAATTACTTTCATCAGAGAACACAACTTTGAACCACTCAGCAGCAGTCCCAGGCGAGATGCTTCTGGCACTGTCTCTTGTTCAAGAGTGGCTTGACACAAGGAATGCAACAGCTGAAACCCATGTCTTGCATACGTCTGTGTGTGGTGGTTCTTGAAGCACTGACTTCAGCTGCAGTTCACTCTTTTTGAATCTCCCCCACATTTTGGAATGGGTTTTTGTTTCACAGTCCTCTCCAGGGTGCAGTTATCCCTATTGCTTGTACACTTTTTTCTACCACATCTTTTCCTTCCCTTCATCTCTCTATTAATGTGCTTGGACACAGAGCTCTGTGAACAGCCAGCCTCTTTAGCAATGACCTTTTGTGTCTTGCCCTCCTTGTGCAAGGTGTCAATGATCGTCTTTTAGACAACTGTCAGGTTAGCAGTCTTCCTGATGATTGTGTAGCCTACAGAACTAGACTGAGAACATTTAAAGGCCTTTGCAAGTGTTTTGAGTTAAGTAGCTAATTAGAGTGTGGCACCAGTTCTCTTCCAGTGAAGCAGCGAGGTGGCCATTGAGGAGGGAACACTGTAAGGATCCTTCTTGCTCTAGACCTATCGTTCCTCCAGATAAAGTAATTGTTCCATCTCCCTTTTTGTTGCAGTTCTCTACCTTCTTCAAGTGTTTCCAGTGTAACAATCAAGAGACCAGTTGTCAAAGGCCAGAGCAGACATCCACTCAGTGCTAAATTGTACCGTCAAACTATATTACACTCAGCCAAAACATTAGGAGCTTGGTGTGGCTAACCCTGTTCACCTCATCCCCTGAATATTGGAAAACCTGGTTTCTCATGCTGCTTTCTCGAACCATAAAAGTAACCAGATGAACGAGACAAGATTCTTCTACAATAATAAATTTTCTAAAAATCCAAGATCAGTTAGCCTTACGTCTTTGCTATTCCTTTTCAGTGGATTCCCTTCCCGCTCAAAGCCCAAGTTATAAATATTTACCTGCACATAATGTAAATCAAACCTTGAACTCTCCTCATGTCGACTCCTGTGATTAGAACTTTAAGAGTCTAATGCTTGGTTAATTATAACAATTAGTATTACTTTACAGTGATTGTAGCTCAGTTAAAAGATAATAGCATAGAAAAATTGTAATTATGTTCATAATGATTATTGGATTTTATTCTATGCCTTTAAAATGAAAACTGAGTACTTAAAAAAACTCTCATACCTATTAAGCTGAACATTTTATTCTAATGTTTCTTACAGGCTCTGTGTCATTTGTAGAAACTGATGATATGCACAAGGCGAATAAGGACAAAGGTAATATTGTTTGTATTGTAAGATATTTTTTGCTGTTAAGACTTACTTGTATTAACTTTGTATATTTATCTCAATTGTACTGATGTATAATATATTTGTATCTTCAGGAAATGGATTTAGACACTATGCCACTTTCTACCTTGAGTTAATTTGTGAGCCAGCAGCTCCTGTCAAGGTCATCACTGCACAGTGTGTTACCAAGGTACATTCATTTTCTTTTTTTTTCATTTACCCTTTATTTATCCAGGTAGTCTCGTTGAGTCACGAGAACTCATTTTCAAGAGAGACCTGTTTAGGGAGCAGATGGGGGTTAAGGGCCTTGCTCATGGGCCCAGAGTGGGACGAATGAGGGTGGGGGCAGGTGTGGGTGCTTCACCCACCCCCCACCCACATTTTTGATGTTGTCGGTACCGGGGCTTGAACCGGCGATGTTCCGATCACAGACCCACCTTCTCTAACCTCTGCGCCACCACTCCCATTATTCGTCAAACATTTCCAGTTCAAGATATTACAAAGGAAGCTGCTTTTGTCATGTTGTGCTGAATTAGAGCTGAGGTGCACCATTTTATAAAAGAAGTGAGAAGGAGCCAATATTACAAGTGCCTCACCCCCACAATGGCATTACCCTCCCCACTGTGAAGATCATGACATGTAATAAATTAATAAATGTCTGTACATATTTGCACTTTTATCAAATAACTGTGACCGGGGGACTCACCAAAGCCAACACATTATCACCCACCTACCCCCTACCATATCTCCCAGAACTGTGCCCTTGACTCCCGAGACGTTTGCATATATATATATATAGAGTATATATATATA